GCTATCACTGGAGTACCGGTCGCTCACACTTGGCCTTGGTTTTGTTCTGCTCCAATTGGTTAGTTGTGACTTGAATTGGCAAGAAACGCAGACAAGGAATCTATCAGGTAAGCATTCATTATGGATATAAATACTCTATAGTGGCTATATACGGCGGCACTAGAGTCACGATCGCCCCATTCAGTACTGATATCTAGCAGACAAAAAATAGCATCAAGATGGCGTCCCGTACCCCCCTCCGTCCCGGAGTTTACGCTCCTACCATGACCTTTTTCAATCCTGACACTGAAGAGCTTGACACCCCTACCATCCGTCGTCATGCTGTCCGTCTTGCCAAGGCCGGTCTGGTCGGTCTGGTCACCATGGGCTCCAACGGAGAAGCAGTCCATCTGACCCGTGAGGAGCGTAAGACCGTCATTCGCGAGACGCGATCTGCGCTTGTGGAGGCTGGCTTCTCCAACGTCCCTGTCATCACAGGCGCCAGCGAGCAGAGCATCCGTGGCACAATCGATCTATGCAAAGAATCCGCCGAAGCCGGTGCGGAATATGCTCTCATTGTTCCCCCAAGCTACTACCGCTACGCTGTTGGCAACGACGAGACCCTGTATGAGTACTTTACTGCAGTGGCAGATGGCTCTCCTCTGCCAGTGATTCTGTATAACTACCCCGGTGCTGTGTCCGGCATCGACATGGACTCCGACCTGATCATCCGCATCTCACAACACCCTAACATTGTGGGCACCAAGTTCACCTGCGCCAACACAGGCAAGTTGACTCGTGTGGCTACCGCCCTCAATGCCGTCACCCCGGAATCGCCTCTGGCTCCTAAGCGCAAGAATGTCTCAACCAAGAAAACCGAAAACCATCCATATGTAGCCTTTGGTGGCATTGCGGACTTTTCTCTGCAGACTTTGGCCTCTGGTGGTTCCGCCATCCTGGCCGGTGGTGCCAATGTACTTCCTCGTTTGTGTGTACAAATTTTCAACCTTTGGAGCGCTGGTCGCTTTACAGAGGCTATGGAAACTCAGCAGCTGCTGAGTTCTGCCGATTGGGTACTCACCAAGACTGCCATCCCGGGCACCAAGGGTGCCATTCAGTCGTATTATGGCTACGGTGGCTATCCTCGCCGGCCTTTGGGACGTCTGAGCGAGGCTAAGACGCAAGAGGTAGCCGATAAAATCAAAGAAGCTATGGAGGTGGAGCGGTCGTTGCCTGATATTGCATAAATACCCTCTCCTGTACATAAATTTCCGCAATTCTTAAAAACACGTTTGCTTCTTAGAAGATCCGTCTAGTAGAATGCTCGACTGTGGCTGGTAAAATCTACACCGAACTATCAAGTTTATAAATTGCTGTAAACGCCTATGATTGACCCGACACAGTAGTCATGGTGTATACATTGCGCTTCGTCACGGTTCCTGAATCGGGGCAGTCCGTACCGAACGGACTTCGGACAGATTGCCGAGCCCTCTCTCTCTCTTCTTTGGGAAACCGAAGTGCCCCCACGCCAATTTTCATCGGTTTGGCCCCTCACTGGTGGACAAACTTTAGCGGATTGAGGTGAGTTGGATTTATGGGCTCTCTTGGTGAGAGTGTCAGATGAACTCTATGATACCCATGAGGGGTAAAAAAAAAAAAAAAAACAAAAAAAAGAAAATGTAGAGAGAATAGCTCTGGGAGTAGGGAAATAGCTACACCATGCTCCATATTCTCAAGAGTAATTCCCATCCTGTATACAAGCCAATGTAGCGTATAGCATCTTGCAGCCATATGTTGCAGTCTGGGAGATCAAGATCCATGAACAACAAAATACTTGGAGCGAACTTCACGGCGCGGGGTCGCTCGACGTAGACAAAGCTGTAGGTATATGTTTCCTCACCTCAACTCCGTAGGTATCCATTAGACGATATTCGTATGCTAGGCGCTTAATCTGTTGTAGGGAATAAAATTGCAACAAGGAATGCAATCAGATTCACGGACCAAGTGCCCAGTCCTTCCAACTGCTCTGCGGAGAATACCCACTGTGACTGCAAACACGGGCAGTAAATGGATGGCTCCGCAGTGTTAGTTTGTTGGCGTGGCGATCAAATTATAAAGGTCGACTTCGCCCTGGTGGACAGTGTTTTTCTTTTCTTCTTCCCTTCACTATTCCTACTCCGACCACTCCGCCCCATACTTCGTCAGTTGTTTTCTTCCAACCATTACCTATATTACTCGACAACATGCCTTATCCCGAGGAAGCTGAGGGTTTCCAGGTCGATAGCCCTGATACCTATACCAACTTTAACAAAAGATTTGTACGTCCCAAACTTTTCCTCTTCTCGGCTTTTGTTGCTCGAAGACTAACGATACCGTCGCGTGCAGTTCAAGTTGAAGCCATTTGGCGACTATGGTATGTTGAGGTCGTTTCTGACACACTTGAAATGATACCACTGACACATCCGTAGATGTTGATATCAAGATCGAGGCTTGTGGTGTCTGCGGAAGTGATCTGCACACTATCAGCGGTATGTTCCCCCCTCAACGCACACTAGTCTCACCGACGACTACTAGCAGTAGCTGACATGGTATGATATATATCAGGTGGATGGGGAGACCAAAAATTCCCTCTTTGCGTGGGTCATGGTAAGTGCTATTTCTTCTCGGCATCGTGAAGCCTATTAACGAGATTACCTCCGGTAGAAATCATCGGCAGAGCGATTCGCGTCGGACCGAAAGTCACATTGATCCAAGAAGGCCAGCGCGTCGGTGTTGGCGCCCAGTCATACTCCTGCGGCGAGTGTAAGCAATGCAAGAACGACAACGAGACCTACTGCCCCGTCCTCATGATGGATACCTACGGCTCTGAGTGGCCTGAGACTGGCATCGTTAGCCAAGGTGGGTACTCATCGCATGTGCGCACTCACGAACACTGGGTATTTCCTATCCCCGAACAACTTGAATCCAACCTTGTCGCCCCCATGCTATGTGCCGGCCTGACAGCATATTCGCCGCTGGTCCGTAACGGCGCCGGGCCTGGCAAGAAGGTGGGAATTGTGGGGCTGGGTGGAATCGGTCACTTTGGTATCATGTTTGCCAAAGCCCTTGGAGCAGAAACCTGGGCTATTTCCCGGTCTCGCGCCAAGGAGGCGGATGCACGAAAGTTGGGAGCGGATGGATACATTGCTACCGCGGAAGAAGGTTGGGAGAAGGATCACTTGTGCTCGTTTGATCTGATCATCAACTGCGCCAGCTCTTCCCAAGGCTTTGATCTGGCCAAATACTTGTCCCTCATGGACGTCCATGGTCGCTGGATTAGCGTCGGACTTCCTGAGGAAGATGGTCAGGTCATCAAGGCACAGAACTTGATCGCGAATGGCGTCTTGATTGGGGCTAGTCACTTGGGTAGCCGGCGGGAAATGTTGGATATGCTCAACTTGGCAGCAGAGAAGGGTCTACGGGGATGGGTCGAGGAGCTGCAGATTGGTGAGGAGGGACTCAAGGAAGCCATGGTCCGAATGAAGAAGGGAGATGTTCATTACCGTTTCACGATGACCGGGTACGACAAGGTGTTCGCTTGAGCTGAGGCGAAGGTTGTAAAGTATGATAGAGTTACGAAAGAAGAATACCATAAATTATGACTTTTTTTTAAAGGCGATAAATAAAGAGAAGGAGGGGAAACACTCGTCTGTGTATAGTTTTGTAGGTGGGGGTTAGAAGTAATTATAATCATTCCTCAAGGTCCTTACTACTTCAACGGTCCTCAGCCATACCTTCTTCTTCTCACGAGGTCCTTTCTGACTTATAGAGGGAAATTGATATTATTTTATTTTATTTTATTTTATCTACTTTGATTTTAAAATATATATTTTTTTTCCCTTTTCTTTCTTTGTTTACCTTCTGATTTTCTTCGCTGTTATCCTTCTCAAATATTGCGAACGGCTTAAAACTGCGATCGAGGGGCAACCCTACTAAATTAACAAGAACATATATATATATCTACATATCCCTCTCTATATAGTTCCATATGAAATAAGAAATTATAACTAAATATACGTCCAGGAAAGAGAATTATTCGAGATTAGATTTAATATTACTCTTAGACGCCTCAATCCTCGGGGAACGACGAAAGATTCCGATCATCGGTAAAACACACGGACAAAGCGCAGGTGCCCAAGACCGACACGGGTGGATCATCGTGAGATTTGCAAAACCCCACGGGGGCGGGAGGCAGATTTCTTGCACCGGCCTAAATTCACGATGGAGCCGATCTTCAACGTATCCTTCAAAAGGAAGTCTTAGTATATTATACAGTCTGTCCAGCGCTGAGTGTTTCAATGCAATGGATCAAAGACAGAACACGCTTCTATTTATGTTATCAATTCAATTCACATATTGCTTACATATTACAATTATGAATGCACTTCGATATAATGCATTTGTTCCCAAGAAGGGCCAGTTGGGCTGACTTGTCGGAATGAGTTGGTGTCCCGAAATAGTAACTCTTGCTTTTTTTGTTGTCTAAGCAAGGCATTGCTATTTGACTTTGACTTTGACTTTGACCTATTGGGAGGGTTAAGACAATAAAATAAAAATAAAATAAAACAGAATAATGATATCAAAAAAAGAGAGAGAAGAAAAAGGAAAAGGTATCAGAAAGAAAAAAGTAAATCTTTGAGAAAGAAACTTTTCTAATTCTCATTTTTATTTCCCCATTAAAGACGCTCCGCCACCAGCGTGGGAACTCAGGGGCCGAGGCAGTCCAAAGGCTTTGTGTGGTACATTGACATTGATTAACTTTTCTTCTTCTTTTCTTTGGTTGTTCGCCTCCAATGACGCCCAATCAGTTTGCCTTCCGGTGGGAAATGCGCGACCACTCACCGGGGCCCATCGGACTGGGGGGGGGGGGGCAAATTCTTTTCTTTTGGGGCGTCTCACCGCCCTGCTGATAAGTAGCTTTTCTCCCTTTTTTCTCCCTCTCCTGATGTTTTTTGTTTCCCTCTTGTCAGCTTTCCCTTTTTTTTTCTTTCTTTGTGTTCTGATTCCTTAGATTGATTTGTATTAGATTCTCACCCCTTCTGTCCTGTCCTCTCTTTTTGTGGTAGACGTCCTTTCCCTCATTCTTTGTTTGTTCTGGGTGGTCGGTGTTTCTTATCAGGAGTTTACTTTGTTTAAGCGGACCTCATTTTCTCTCTCTTTCCCTTACCTACATCATTCAAACCTCCCCATAATTTGTCTGTTACGGATACCCGCTCGAGAGCCAACGGGCAATTCACTGCATACTCCATCGACGCTCTCACATTTGTCCCTTGCTGTTCCCTGAAATTGTGTCTCAGGGTTAGTGAAAGGGGCCCTCTCGTGTCAGTATATAGTCGATCTGCGGAATCTCCGATCGTCCTGCATTATCTCTCTATATTCGATTCGCGACACCATGTCACCACGTGAGGCTGCGACACTTCCCTCCCGGCGACGTCCTTCGCTTTCCTTCAGACCTCGACCACGGACGGCTACCTCGTCGACCCATCAAACAACCCGTGTAGAAAACGACGTATGGGGTGGAGGGTCAGCTGTCGATACAGCCGATGATGAGGGGCAGGTGTTGGAGGAAATGAATCATTTCCCTGAGCCTGCTCCCAGGCGCCGAGAAGCGAGAAGCTTCTCAAGCCTACGTCATCCTGTCGATGGCTTGCGCGCCCTCGGCCGCCGCTTGTCGGTCACGATCCGGAATAAATCTTCCAGGCATTCGGCTCATCACCACCAAGATGACCTGGGCGACTTGAACCATGAGCCGGAGTTTACGCCTAGAAATAGGCATTCATGGTGCAAGGGTACCGGTGTCGATCGCCGATTGTCTCATCACAGCGTATCGGCACTGCACGGCTTTCATGCACCAACGGCTCCTGTCCATGATCCGATTCCAGGCAATGGTTCGGAGCCCCCCGTTATTTCGGACGATATCTATGCAGGCGCAGCCGCTCGGGCGGCCGCTGCGGTCCAGAATGAGCTGTTCAGGGCCGAGAGGGATGGTGCAAAGTACTCCGACTCGGGACTGACGAGAGATTCGGAGAGCGGTATTGGTATCGACCTGCGTGACCGCTCCGAGCTCTCTGACATGGATCTGGCCTTTTTGCGCTTAGATCCGGTGACTCATCTACCACCAGAGGTCATGTCACATATCTTTACTTATCTCGACCCCCAATCTCTCATGCAATGCGAATCGGTCTCTCGCGCGTGGAGTGAGCAGGCCTCCTCCCGGCATATCTGGAGACATGTGTTCCGTCACACCTATGGACATAGTCGTCCTGTCGGCACCTCGAAGAAAAAACGATCTGCTGGTTTAGGAAAATCTCTCCCAGACCAGGACTGGAAGAGAATGTTCCTTGTTCGCCGTGCGCTGGAGCAGCGATGGAAGGAAGGCAAGGCTGCTGCTATTTATCTCCACGGACATAAAGACAGCGTGTATTGTGCACAATTTGATGAGTATGTCATTCGGCAAGTAAATTATTGTCATCGACTAACCACCTACAGGGACAAAATCATTACGGGATCCCGTGATCGAACCATCAGAGTGTGGGATGCACATTATCCTTGGCCATGCCGCAAGATTATCGGACCTCCTCCAGGAGATATCGCTGGTATTGGGCCTGTTAATAACATGTCCCAGCAGTCATCTGGGAAGCCACCTTTTCTAACAATTTGCCCCCCACCGACGCTCTCCGCTGGGATTACTACTCCGGTTGAACAAGCTTCAGAGTACCATAGCGCATCCATCCTTTGCCTTCAATTCGATGACGAGATCATGGTCACGGGGTCATCTGACTATACCTGCATTGTATGGGACATTCAGAATGACTATCAGCCTATTCGGCGCCTAGAAGGCCATCGGGCAGGTGTGCTGGATGTGTGCTTTGATGACCGTTATATCGTCTCTTGCTCGAAGGATACCACCATCTGTGTGTGGGATCGACATACTGGGGCTCTCCTTCAAAGGCTTGTGGGCCACCGGGGCCCTGTCAACGCAGTTCAGCTACGTGGCGATTTAATTGTCTCTGCGAGCGGAGACGGCGTCGCCAAATTGTGGAACATAACGTCTGGCCACTGTGTGAAGGAATTCCACAGTAAAGATCGCGGACTTGCATGCGTTGAGTTTAGTGAAGATGCCAGGACTATCCTCACTGGTGGTAACGATCAAGTTATATATCAGTTTGATGCAAACACCGGTGACATGGTCAATGAGCTGAAAGGTCATGAAGGGCTAGTCCGGTCTCTGCACCTGGACAGTGCGGGACAGCGGATCGTCAGCGGAAGTTATGATATGAGCGTTAAGGTCTTTGACGCGCAGACCGGGGAGTTGTCGATTGACCTACCAGGCTGGACCACCAGCTGGATGTTGAGTGTGAAGTCGGACTATCGACGCATCCTGGCCACGAGCCAGGATTCTCGAGCTGTCATCATGGACTTCGGCTATGGACTAGATGGCATTGAATTGCTAGAGGAATAGATGGGACACAACCCTAGACATATATTTGCTCTTTATGCTCCATTACAGGAAAAGTTCCGGGTTTAGGGAGTTTATACGGTTAATCATTTGGGATTTCCGCTTGTGGCAACTTGCTTTATACTGTTTGCACTTTTTTTGCGCCTTTTTGGATATAATTCTTTGGGATACACATTGACTAGCGATAGAGCGTTGATACTTCAAAAGAATTTTGCTTTGCTTTCTCACGTCGGTCTTCCTGACTGAAAACGGTTCGCAGTAGTTAGTATTGCTGCCTTGTGATAGTAGATATCACATGGATACATGGTATGTATACACGTCGGTTTACAACAGTAATGCCGTCGATCAACAATCGCATAGTACTAGTACTTGGGTAGGTATCCATCAAATTATTGCCTAAGGAATCAACACTTTCCACGGTAAGGGGCAGGGGGCCTTGTGATTGGCCAAGATCCCCCTTAGCGTCATGGCGGTCCCGTGGGTTTTGTCGACAGCAACAAAACAATCCTCTCAACGTTTACTTTGCCTCAATTTTCTAACCAAGAACAAACTCTCACCTGCCTGTGGAAACGCCCATCTATACGACTTCTTTGTTTCCCCTCACGCTCCCCTAATTCATTGTACCCCAGGAGCTCTTCCCTCTATCCCAACCGAACTCAAAACCAGGACCGTATACCCCACCATGGGCGAATCTAGGTTCGTCGAAACCCCCTTTCAAAGACTTCTGGGGAAGAAGCCCCTTATATGTGGAAGCCGGTGATTAATCCTTGTGAAATGAATAGACAAGAGCTTCTGGCATGGCTCAACAACCTGTTGCAGCTGAACCTTACGAAGGTTGAGCAGTGCGGAACGGGGTACGTTCAACCCACTTCCACGTTTTGATTAATTCTGCTTTCCTACGGGTGACGGATTTGACTCCCTTGCAAAACCTGGAAACAAAACGACGTGGAATTTGGCCCCAACATATTTGCTAGAATGGGCTGATGTGTGATCTTGTGTAGTGCGGCTCTCTGTCAAATCTTTGACTCGATCTTTAGTGAGTGTGCCATCTTATCCCTAATAATGTTTTTATGTAGGGCTAACAGTTTTTTCCCTGCCTACTAGTGGACGTCCCCATGTCCCGTGTGAAATTCAACGTCAATACCGAGTATGCCTACCTTCAAAATTTCAAGGTCCTTCAAAGTACGTTCCTAGGTGGATCCGTTTGAATGGGGAAAGGTCCTCCCTGTTGACACAAACCTTTCAACAGACGTGTTTGCTCGCCACCAGGTAGACAAGCCAGTCCCCGTGGAACAACTTACCAAATGTCGCATGCAGGACAACCTTGAATTCCTGCAGTGGACGAAGAGATACTGGGACCAACACTTCCCTGGTGGTGATTATGATGCTGTTGCTCGTCGGAAGGCTTCGGGTGGTCCTGCTGCTGCTGCTGGCGGCTCTCGCGCAGGCGCAGCCTCGGCTGGAGCCACGCGGCGTGGCGCTACGCCTACCACTGCTGCAGCTCGCCCACGAGTCGCTGCAGCAAGCGGGCCTAACGTGTCTGCATTGCAGCAAGAGATCGCGACTCAGAAGGAAGCTATTGCCGGATTGGAGAAAGAGCGGGATTTCTATTTTGCTAAGCTCCGAGACATTGAGCTGTTGCTGCAGAGTGCCATTGAGGCAGACCCCGAGTTGGAGAAGGACGACGATTCGTTGGTGAAACACATTCAGGGCATTTTGTACTCGACAGAGGTATGAAGCACTTGCACACCCGTTCAAACGAGTACGGACCGGGAGGGCTAACTATCGGGCAGGAAGGGTTTGAGATCCCAGCTGAAGAGGGTGCTGCGGATGAACTGGAGACATTCTAATTTCCGGTCGAGAAACGTTTGTCCGTTTTTAATACCCCCTCATAGTATGGCTAGCGTTTCGTGGGTGGTTTTGGCCCCTCTTGTTTTGATTGGATTTCCTGTTACTCTCCTAAGTTGGGTCCTCGGTCGAGTTGCCGGGGAGAGAGAGAGAGAGAGAGAGAGAGAGCTTGGCAGCTGGCACGAACCAGAGAGCGAGAGAAGCATGAGCTGTGTTGATAGGACATTTGAATTTCCGTCAGGCTCTGGACGAGAGCCCAATAGAATTGTGCTCTACTTCTATAGCTCTACCTCCTCTTCCAAGTTCCTCCTGTGGTAGCCTACCATTCGGTCCAAGGGCTAGGGCCTACCGAATGACCCAATTAACCTACGGTTTGCTCGATGCTCCTGCATTCTTCGAAAGTTTCCATTCCGGAGATGGCATTCCAAGACGGGAGATAGACACGCCACGCCACGGCGGTATGTAAAAATAGCAGTGTGGATCGGAGACGGAATTGAACCCCATCTCTGGATGGTTACGCTTACGAAGATTGCAACCTCGTCTTCGGATAATGTTGATAATTCACGACCTCCCCGGGTCACACTGCAGGATGAAATGGATAACCATGGGGTTACACAATGTGAAAATGGCCTCGGGAAGATGAACTATAATCTCACCCAGGAACTCTGTACCTTGCAGCATGATAGATGTAGTGAACTGGGGGCGGAGACCAAACACTAGTAAGTTTGGCCCCTTACTCTCAGGAGATAGTATTATTATATGCATATCAGGTCGTACGGACTCCCGCCAACACTGCCTCGGTATTTTTTTTTTTTTTTTTCTTTTCTTGATCCCCCAAGGTTCGTGGTCGGGTATAGAGTAGTACTTAATTTGAACTAACCAACTTAGACATGCCAATTAAAAAAAATTGCTAAGTAATCTTGCACCATCATCCTGGGTTAGACTGAAAAGAGTTCTAGCGGGGCATATTGAAGTGACACATTCCAAGCCGCGTGGGGCCTACCGATGCAATATTGGCTAGAACATTCTGGTCGTTCATTTGGTATCCGTTGTATTATTACGGGCATGGTGTTACTGTACCTGAGGTAGTACTTCTGTCACTCCAAAATTGGTAGTTTGTGTACTAAGTAGTAGGTGTTGCTTTGTCCTCAATGGCCGATTCATCGAATCGATATAGCAGGGCTATTCACTGCTAAATCGCTCTTTCGCCTTGCACCCGGATCTTCCCTCTCAAGGCCTTTGATGCGCTTGATCTGTAGTGGGATGAGGAGATGAGCCGTTGATCTGAGGGAATCTTCCGATTTTAATGAGAGGGTGACAGACGGCATTATATATTAACCAAAGCTAGTGATCCACTCAAGCAAGGCTAGTTAAATGAAGGTGAGACTTTCCCATCAGTGTTTCATTAAACTTAGTCTTGGCTTTCCCGTGTTGAGCCAATGATACTCACTCCGTACAAAAATGGACATCGCTTGATCCCCAAAATGGAAAGGCCGTCATTTCGGGTACGCAATGCATACGCATCAAGTTGGTATTGTGTTTGGAGTACCAGAACACCTGTACGTACAGACATCAAGTTGACCTTATGTAAGGCACTGGGAGGTATCGATAGTATTCACTGCAACCTCCAGGTTTGCTCATTTTCTCGCCCTGTGGAGCAAATTTATAAAGGTCATCTTGCAGAAGCTGATACCTCTATTTTCAATACGCTAGGTAAGTGATATTACCGGAGTTGACGTGAAGGTTGTATTCGAGAAAGGCCAGTGCTAATGCTAATGTAATTCTCGTATTGTAACGACTAACTAGTGGGACGCTGCAAGTCTAAGACCTGACCTCAGCCGAACCTGTTGTTGTTATTCTTAGGTCTGGCCTGATCGATTCTCTGCCGCTCTGCTCTCTCATTGACATCGTCTTTTCCCTTCTCTCCCCTCACCTTCCTTTTCCTCCTTCACCTTTTCCCGCCCTTCTCATTTCTCCTTCCCTAATCCCCTCTTCCCCTCTTTTCCCTTGATCCTTTGGTGGTAGAGGTCGGAATCTTTCCTCGGGGACAGTCTACAACCATTGAATCGGATGGTGGAATTACCGCACCGCGCGAGGTGACATACTACCACGGAACGGCTTGGAACAAGCGAGAGACAAGGCTGGGTCCGGTGTCAACGTGGATCCCGCAACCAGAGAAAAAGCGAAACGGAAATAATTTTGGCGATCAGATTCTCGAAGTACCCATCGTTGATGAGTCTCTTGTCAGTCCATTTCCCCGTCAAAACTTCCAATTCGATTCTTTCGGCAATTATGGATTAGAGCTGGAGGAGCTCTCAAATTGGGGGAAAGTACTCTCAACATCCGGATCAAAAACCAAAAAGTTGCACCTGCTTTTTTGTCGCTTTTCGCATCTTTTCATTCATTCCTTACAGGTATGTACGAGCTCAGATGTCAAATGGACTCGGCATCATCCTGGGACCTGCGGATACTCTCGCTATCTGCTCTTATCCGTTAAAGCAATCCAATCCATATTGTCCAGCAGTCTTGGTGGCGTAGTGGTTATCTGATCGATCCTCTTGACAGATTTCCATGCATTTCGAAATTGTTTTCCCATCATTACGATTAAAATTGTCAGCTCTTCGGTGCAGCTGACGTCCGCTCCTTGGTTCATACGAATTTTAAAACCTCTGCTATTTGCGGGGGTTCTACGCTTGGGCAAGCCTGAGCCATCATTGTGACCGCTAGTCGTTCTTTCGATAAAACCCGACATTTTCATTCTGCAGTCAACACGGCCTTCGCTCATTCGAATCTCAGCATTCTAATTCTTTGCGCTCTTTCCTAAACTCGCTTGCTTCCCGCAGATATTCTTAGTGTCGTACTGACAGGCACCGTATTTTACATACTTCCTGAATCTTCTTCCGGCACGGAGCTTCAGAACCTGTGCGCTCGGTCTTGCGCACCAACGGTGTCTCAAGTCGATTACCATTACGTCACACTTCTTGATATTCAATCTTCAATAGCTTCCTAAGTGGTTCAAGTTGAGAGCATAGTCCTACAGCTCGGGGCAAGGGCCGAACCAGGATGGCCCATCATGGCAATAGGCACACTCGGTATAGCAGATTGATGAAGAGGACTAATAGATCAACAGCGGTTGCAGATGCCACGGGACGTACGGACGGAGGGCTCTCGTTAGGCTATGGGACAGTTGTGAATGACCCGAGAGACAGGATGAAGCGGCAAGCACAGGACGAGTCGCAGCCCCAAACGGACAGCGCAATATCCCAGGAAGACCAGATTTCGGTGCAAGTCACGATAGCCGCAGCCGCTACCGATGATCCTCAGACTACACCTGATGCTGCAGTAGTAACGCCCTCGGCGACAACTGGTATTAGTGAGCCCACAGTGTCTCAAGTCACCCCTAACCAAAGCTCACCGGCTGTTCCGACTACCTCGTCCGAAGAAAACCTGAATGCCTCTCCTGCTTCACCTACCCCCACAACTGATACTCCCCTTGAGACGACGAGTCATGATTCATCGACTTCTCCTACTTCTCTTCCTGTGATATCTTCTGCTTCCGACATTTCCGCTTCCCAAATACCTCTCTCGCCTATGAGCTCGAGTGGGACGCCTCAGTCAACTTCTAGCACGATAGTCCCCACAACAAGCTCTTCGTCGTCCAGTTCTAGCCAAACCTCGTCTACGTCTAGTTCCAGCCCAAGCTCATCTTCCGGCACAACGACTTCCTCAACTTCTACATCCTCTACAACCTCTACCACATCTGAGATTACTATAACTTCGTTGCCCTCCGGCACCGGAGCCGGGCCCTCATATGGCTGGGATGGAGGATCGGGGCCGACAGCTACCGAACAGACACCTTTGACTACTGGACCGACTACTTCAGCAACAAGTTCTCCTTCCCAGGGCTCTGGCGTTCTCGACAGTCAAACCAAGGGCAAAATTGCTGGCGGTGTAGTTGGTGGCGTAGCTGGTGCAATGGTTTTGGTAGTCCTAGTTTTTCTACTTCTCCGGAGACGGAGAGCATACCAAGATCGTGCCCCTGAAGTCCTTCCACCCGGTGATATGACTGGTACTGCTGTTGGTGAAGGATCTGTAACAAGGTCAGCTGATGTGGTTTCACGGCGGTCTAGCAATGATCCGTTATTTACGGCCTCATACTTTGCGCCAGCGTTTATGAAGCGCTGGAGACAATCCCGCCTCTCTACTCATACAGAAAGCACCTTAGATTCTAGCACCAGCGAGCGTGGCTTCCAGAAGATTTCCGGCCGGAAGATTCCCTCCGTGCTGCAGTCAGGAGGAGATGGATATGGTGGTGGTTTCCCGGAAGGATCGCCGACTATGTCGGAGCCAAGTGTGAGCTTCCCGCCAGGTTCACCGGTCCTTCCCCGCTCACCTACCTCTCAACCGCCTCCATCAACCCCATATGGCATGCCGCTGGACGTGAGTTATACAAGGGAAGCCGAGGAAACAAACCCCATAGTGATTTTTCGGCCCTCGCCGGCCAGGACACCTATCCCTGGCTCCGCAAATGCTAGTCTATCTAACGAACCCTCTGTATCGCGCATTGTGCCTCTGGCGCAGGGGGCATTGTCTCCCACCATACCTAAGCGACCGGATGTACTGGGTCGAAGTCATCCAAGTTTTGATGGTAGCCGCGGCAGCCGATTTACCGAGAGTATATGATCCTGTTCGCTATTGTCTTTCCTTTAGCCATTGCAAGCACCCCTTCGTTGTTCGATGTCTGGATATATATCATAAGAGCTTTGCTCTGTACATACGCTGAGAGCTTGCACTTCTTTCTTTCCCTTCGGGGCGTGTCGCCTTTGCAACGGGGCTAATCCTGAGCCTTCTCAGGCTGGCATGTTCCTGATCCTGTTGTACTCTTACTCTCTATTTCTTATATGGATACCCCGAATTGAGTTCACTGTTCCTTGTTGAACCCCTGCTGATTGCTGTGAAGACTTTCTTTCCTTCTCGTATGTCAATACTATATGTGGAGTGATATTTTAGGGAAATCTTGTGGGGGTGATGGTCATGAAACGTTTAATGGCAAATGGATATTTTCCTGACTCCGGATCCGGTAATTTGTACCTAATCTAAGGTACGCAGCCGTTATCGATAAGGCCTTTTTTTTTGTTTTTGTTTTTGGGGGTTCCGGAACGGAGTTACTTTCTCTCTCCGAGGTGATAAGCATGATTGCCGACACTAAAGGCGGGTCTCTGGCCAACCAGGGCTCTTCTATTTATGCGTGACCTGAGATGGCAGGGTTGCGATGTAAGGTTCCATGGCGTAGTATATCCATCGACTTGATATAATCGATATGCCCCCTTTCCCTCATCCTTCTCAATATTTCCTTCTCTATGTCCCAATTCACATCCAGGAAATAGTATCTCATTACATTTATTTGACTAATAATAATCATCATGGGTGATCCTAATCCCTCGATTTCTCACGATCTCTCCTTATCTTCCCCTCCCAATTCCCCACCTCACCCTCATTCCGCCAATCCACTTCGTTTCCTTGTCATCGGCGCTGGTTCACGAGGCAATGCTTACGCCCGAGCCGTCACGAATGCCACCTCAGGCATGATCCACGCGATTGCTGAACCACATCCCTTCAAACGACGGGAATTTGGCCGCAATTATATTTGGGGTGACAGCGGTACCCCACAGGACGGCCAGGAGTTCGAAGACTGGCGAGATTGGCTGCGATGGGAAATCAAGCGGCGAACACAGAGTAGTACTATTGTGGCTGCCGGAACGAATCATACGACCAGGGGAGTAGACGGCGTATTCATCTGCACGCTGGACGAAACCCACGTTGAGATCCTACAATCCATCGCTCCCTTACAACTTCACATTTTGTGCGAGAAGCCGCTTGCCCTCTCACTATCCGACTGCCTGACAGTATACCGCGCCCTGCTACCAAAGGATGAAGGGGGTTTGTCACCCTCCTCTTCCCCATCAACCATTTTCTCCATAGGCCACGTCCTCCGATACAGTCCGCACAACATCCTCCTCCGAAAGCTCCTTCTCGAAGATCGTGCCATCGGCGATATCGTCTCAATGGAACACTGCGAACCAGTTGGATGGTGGCACTTCGCACACAGCTACGTCCGCGGGAACTGGCGACGAGCAACGCCCGAAGGCGACGGCTCCCTGCTCACCAAATCCTGCCACGACCTCGACTTTATCCTCTGGCTTCTTTGTTCCCCGCCACCACTCCCCGCGGACGCCAGCCTCTCCGCACAACAGCAGCAGGAATACCTTAAGTGCCAACAACCGCATCTCCCACGCACCATCTCCTCCTCCGGCTCCCTGACCCAGTTCCGCAAATCTAGAAAACCCCGCGCCGCCGCCACGGCCACAAACTGCCTCTCTTGTTCCGCAGAGAGAAACTGCAATTACAGCGCCATCAAGATCTATCGTGACATGCATGTCGTAAGGGCCAACTACGAATGGCCTGTCAACATCGTCTGTCCAGATATCGAGGATGTAGTACGGAGCTCCTCCTCTCTGTCCGAGGAAGAACAGATCAAAGCAGCAGAGGCCCACCTTCTCCGTCGCCTGGAAGAAGATTACTCTCCCGAAACAGCAGATAAGGATATTGCCGCGAGACCCTGGTACGGTCGGTGCGTTTACGAATCCGATAATAATGTTTGCGATGACCAGGTTGTCACTCTTACCTGGGATGACGAGCCACTTGGCTTCGACACAACTATCAATGACTATTACCCCCGAACTGCTAAAACGGCCATATTCCATATGATCGCGCCGACGGAAAAGCAGTGTGAACGGCGAGGTCGTGTTTACGGTACCCAAGGTGAAATCGCTTACGATTCACGGGATATTGAAATTTACAGCTTCTCGACCCGGTCGACCCGGTCCATTGAGGTGCCGCGGCAGCCGCCAGAAGAGAAGGAGTCTCATGGTGGGGGCGACTACGGTCTGGCGAGGAGCTTTGTCCGCGCCGTGGATGCGGTGGTTAATCAGGGTTGGGACGTTGAGCATGCGCAGAGGTGCTTCGTGGGCTGTACACTGGAGGAAGCGGTGAGGAGTCATGCGGTTGTGTTCGCGGCGGAAGAGGCGAGGAGGGAGGAGAAAGTGGTTCGGTGGAAGGATTGGTGGGAGGGGAAGCTTCGAGATTCGCTGGGGACGAGGTCGGCTTGTGATTGAGTTATTGGTTCTGGTCGTTGTCATGGCAGCAGAGTTATCCTGAAGGTGGTTAATGATATGATATGACGTTATGGCGCACAGTGATGAACCGGTTATGGACTGGAATATGAGTTATGATTATGCAATTAACTATCTTAAAATGAAACCTGTCCATGGATGGTCTGTGTTTCTTCCCATCATAAAGAACTCTGCACCTCACACGCTTGTGGCACAATATTTACAAACATCAAATCATAGTCACTTAAGTGCGGACGTCAGGCTCCTCGCGGCCGATGAACTCCTTGAAGTTGAGCAGAGAGAGAGCGAGAGCAACGTTGTCCTTCAGGTACTCGGACGCAGTCAGGCCGAACTTGCTCTTGTCGTTCTCGTACTTCTCAATATACAGACGGATCGTGGCACCGCTGCTGCCGGTGCCGGACAAACGGACGATGATACGGCTGCCATCATCGAACTTAGCATAGAGGCCCTGGTTCTTGGACACGCTGCCGTCCAGGTCGGTGTAGGAGAAGTTGCCCACATCGGTGACCTTGCGGCCGGACACGGTAGAACCAATGAAGCTGTCCTTGTTGGCGACCTTGTCGGATAGGATAGCAATAACCTTGTTGGCACCATCGCTGTCGACGTTCTCGTAGTCGTAGCGGGTGAAGAAAGTACGGCCATAGGTCTGCCAGAAGTCGTTCTGGATGGACGCGATGCTGGGGGTCTGGTCCGGCTTCTGCTTGGCCACACCAGCGATGATGTTCAGCCAGGCGACGATGGCCCACAGACCATCTTTCTCACGGATATGGTTACTACCGGTACCGAAGCTCTCCTCACCGCAGATCGAGATCTTCTTGTTGTCGAACAGGTTGCAGAAGAATTTCCAGCCGGTGGGCACCTCGTAGCTCTGCAAACCCTGTGCCTTGGCAACCAGGTCAACAGCACCGGAGGTGGGCATGGAGCGGGCCAAACCGTAAACACCCTGCTTCTGGAAGTAGGGAATCAGCTTGGCGTGGTGGGAGATGATGGCCAAGCTGTCACCGGGGGACACAAAGGTGTTAGCACCGTAGATCATGTTGCGGTCACCGTCACCATCGCTAGCGGCACCGAAGTGGATACCGTTCTTGTCAACGGCCTCAACCAGCTCATGGGCATAGACCAGGTTGGGGTCAGGGTGACCACCGTTGAAGTCAGGGCTAGGGACACAGTTCATGGTGCTGCTGCTGGGCAGACCCAGCTCGTTGACGAAGATATCGACGCCGTAGGGGCCCGTGACACCGTGCATGCCGTCAAAGAGAACCTTGAAGTCCTTGTGGGTGCTGAGGAACTCCTTGATCAGGTCGAAGTCGAAAATCTCCTTCATCATCTTGACATAGTCGGTGGTCGAATGAACAACCTCGACCTCCAACGGGCCGTAGGTTTTGGAGCCAATGCTGGAAAGGTCAATCTCTGGAATCTCAGCATAGTTATAGGAGGTGAGGGTCTTGGAGGTTTCGTAGATCTTGTTGGTGACTGTCTCGGGGGCGGGGGCACCGTTGGACAAGTTATATTTGATACCAAAGTCGGCATTAGGACCTATTACATAGAGTTAGCTGGGGCAATTGCTGAGCCTAGAAAGCTCCAGGGTGTTCTTACCACCGGGGTTGTGGCTGGCAGTTAACAGAATGCCACCGGTGGCCTTCCGTACACGGATAAGATTACTGGCAGCGGGGGTGCTCAAGATGCCGTTCTGGCCGACAAGGAGCTTCTTGACGCCATAGGCGGCACTGATCTTGGCGATCTTTTGGATGGCCTCGGGGTTATAGAAACGGCCGTCGCCACCAATGACGAGGAAGGCGTCCTTAGCACCTTCAGGGATGGAGAGGAGGATGCTGGTGATGAAAGATTCGGAATAGTGGGGCTGTTGGAAGACCTTGACCTTCTTACGAAGACCGGAGCTATAGAGGTTAGCAACGGTTCTATAGTGTACCAAGACCGTGAAGAGAATAGAGATGGATAGAGACATACGTTCCCGGCTTCTGGTCAGTAAAGGATTGGAAGGAGACAGTCTGGATGGACATGGTGACAAGGATAATGTTATGAGGAAGAAGAAAGCAAAAGAGAAAAGAAAAAAAAAGAAAGGAGAAGAAGATAGAAGGATATTATATAAGGAATTGAGACTGCTCACCGACAATTGGGGGAAGGTTCGGAAAAAAAAAGAGAGAGAGAGAGAGAGAGAGGAAGATAAATAAAGGAGGGGCACCAACTCAAGCTAAAACCATGCAAGTTGACACTCGCGCTGCCGTCATCAGCATGATTTCATGGGATGTACACCTCAGGCTTGAATCAAATGCCCCTCCTCCGGCCCCACTTAACGCCGCTCTTGTTTTTGCCCAGGGATCGAGGCCCCGCGCGTGGGGGCAAGTGGTCCAAGTGCGTGCACAAAAGATGAATAGCAAATTGACCAGGCTCCCATCTTACATCTATACAGTACAATATGAAAGCCTTAGAAGTCTCAACAACTCAAATTGTCAGCGTATCAATTTTCTTATGCTTGATATATTCACTTCATTCTTGCCTACAGATTCTCATGGCTAGATATGGGCGCTAATGTCAAAAGATTGATCTAGGATCTCTATTGCAAAATGATCAAGGCCGTTTCCACACAAACAGTGGTATATCTCTCGGGTAGCTCCCAGCCAACGTTCCTTGGACTCTATTGGCGCCCTGAGGCGTATAGTAGACACAGGCTCCGTTGAGAGATTGAATCGTGGTCTAAAATCACCAAGATAAAAAGTCATTACCGGTATATTCCACTTCTTCGTGATAGCTAAAACATCTCGCATAGGAAATTTTTCACACTGGATGGGATTGCAAAACACAGGAGGAAACTCGCAAAGGTTTGGACCACCAGCACGATAGTGCTCCTCTATGAAGCCATCATCAGTAGATGTGTGTGGGCTGCAGGAGGCACCAGGTGCTCGTCGAGGTGCTCTAGGAGCAGGATATGGTGCCGAGCTAGGCTTGATCGGCTCCATGGTATTAAATGTAGGTGTAGCACTATTGCTGGAGAATAAAGGTGTATGCCGGGCTGTTATGATTGAGTAAAAGGTGAGACGAGAAGTGGAAGTAGGAGTCGTCTTCTTTAACTAGTAGTGGAGAAGACTTGTATACAATAGATACATAGATACTGGTAGTGACTTGCCTATAGATCAAAGGAAAACGGGGTGTTCAAGTTCCGTGTAGGTAGATCTGTTCTACCTAGACAAAATCTGAAGTTTGCTTAGATACTGGAAAAGAGTTCCGATTCTAGCAGTAGCTGCTAACATGGCAAGCGCTTTAAATAGAGAACAAGGCTGTATAGCCCAACAAAGCGATATTCTCGTCCCTTATATTGGGCTTATTCAGACATGATCTATGTATAACTCAGTCAATGAAGGATATCTGAAGCATAAATGCTTGCCTTTGATTTAGAGGAAAAAACCAGGTAAAGTAGCATCTGCTAAGCTTTGGGCCCGTTGGGATGGATAGGCCTACTACCACTGGTATCACGAGTCCACGATTGTCAAGTACATACGTAGCGCAATTCCGATAGTAGTCGAAAGCCCCTTCTTTGATGGGCCATTACAAAGAGAAGAGAGATGAACTGCTCTTGACAGAACAATGGAGGAATTCAATACCTGTCCGTTCGCCACAAAGAAGAAAAAAGTGCCTCTAGCATCTGATTCTTCCATAAAGCGTAGTAGCCAGAGCGAATCCAGGTGGGTGCGTGTTCGTCAGCTATCAGTGAGTGGTATGAAAGGCTCAGGTACCTGGTGCCACCGGCTCAAAGGCGGCGACGACACCCATGGAACGCGGAAAAGACTTCAGCTCGTCAAGAAACAATTAGCTAAATTTTAAAAATAGAACCGTTATAGAAACTATTTCTAAGACATTCTATTTATTAAAAGTCTCCCCCTTTTCTACACAAATATCCACTTTGACAAAAGTAAGAAGAAAACGCCAAATTACCCCTCAGATTTACCTCACGTTTCTAGAGGAGTTCTTAATCTACTTTGATTGTTGGGCAAGTCCCAATGGAGCTATTTTAATAGCTGCAGCTCTAAACCTTGGGACGCGGACGGACCCCTGAATGATTGGGTCGCTTAACCCCATCAGAACCATACATGGACAACTCATCGGACCCCAACATGCCAATCGATGGGTTCTTCCACTGCATCTGCTGTCGGTGGTCCAGGAAAATGGCGGAGGATTGGTGTGAGGATGACACATGACACATCCTCTTATCACTTTTTGCTTATGGATGAATTCAAATCTAGACCCTTCGGCAAGCCCTTAGAGTGCAGGAGGGGGGGGGGGGGGGG